CGACACCAGTCTTGGGGCAGTAGGGATCAAACATCCCTGACGGTGGTCCCCCAAATGCTGTATTTAAGAATTAGTTTCTCAAATCTTTTTATTTTCCAAATTACATAGGGAAAATGTTTTGCTTATAGCACCGCTAATACAGGGGCACAAAGCACACTGTGACCCAGAAGGGAAGGGCAAAGTAACTTGGGAGTGGAGACTGACCTGCTCTCCTTCAGTTTTTAATCAAACACTTCCACGTTGAAATTCCAAAAATATCATGGGAAACTCTTTATGAAATTTTCATGGTTGAATATTTGAACTTACTGTTGAACACAAAAAGACAGAAGTTATACTTTGCCTCTCTTGCCAGAACACAGTAATGGCCTTTCCACTGGGGGCACATACTTGGAGTATGAGTTTGAGACTGTGAACATGGGAGGGTCTCTGATGGGGGTGAGAAGGCTCGCAAATGCTGTGTTACCCTAGTGTGTACTTCCTTTTCTTTGCATGGAAGAAAGGAGGTGGAGCCAAATGATAAATGAAGACTTCCTTATGTAGCAAGGGGAATAACCTACTGTTATGATTGGAGCTCATTCTTGGACCTTTAATTGTGGGGGAGCAATTAGAGGGGCTCTAGGGCTTTCATGGATGTACTAACCAGAATTTTTAAGCCTCCCATAACGCTGGGTTTCCTAGTGAGAATGTGTTATTTTTTTTTTTAATGTTTTATTTATTTCTGAGAGAGAGAGAGGGAGGGAGAGAGCATGAGTAGGAGAGGGTCAGAGAGACAGGGAGACACAGAATCTGAAACAGGCTCCAGTCTCTGAGCTGGCTGTCCTCACAGAGCCTGACACGGGGCTTGAACTCATGAACCTGTGAGATCATGACCTGAGTCCAAGTCAGGCGCTTAACCGACTGAGCCACCCAGGTGTCCCTGTTATACTCTTTTCAAAGAACATTGTGGTAGTAGTCAGGGTAGTGTTGCCAATAGCACAATAAAAATTCTTACCATGATTAGGCATTCATTATGTTTTAGGAATCCTTAAGTGCTTTATGTGTGTTAACTCGTATAATTCTCATAGTAACCATATGAGTTAAATGCAATTATTATCTACACTTAAATGAGAAAACTAGTTCACAGAGACTTTCCACATGGGCACACCTTTAGTGGAGTCAGGATGTGAACCCAGGAAGTCTGGTTCTAAAACTTATATACTACACTCTAGCCACTACACAAAAATACAGTGATCTCCACCTCCCTGGGATCTCCCTAGCACTGTCTCTGACCTGTGACTCTGAGTGGCAGCTCTGAGGGTCATTCCTGCAGGGAACACTGAAGTTGCCCCTAGTGATTCCTCTCCTTGGACACGGTCCTGTCACAGGGACTCTCAACGCATGCTCCACTGGGGAAGTTTCTGTGGCTGGAAGTGTCTTCCATCACAACCTGTTGTCATGGCTGCTGCCATTGAATGGGGGTTTCTGGCACCCACGCCGGCCAATACCTTTTTAAGGGTCCTACTGGTACCTGCTGCTCCTATAGCAATGTCCCTGTCTCTCAGTCTTTGTTAGCACCACCTCTAAGGTATATTTTACTGAATCTATAATTGCACACAGCTCTTTCAAGGAACTTATTTGAGTACTGTAGTATCTTAATTTGGTTAAGCTTAAAATGTAAAGCTTTTGAGGGGCGCCTGGGTGGCTTAGTCAGTTGAGCGTCCGACTTTCGCTTAGGTCATGATCTCGCGGCTCGTGGGTTCGAGCCCCGCGTCGGGCTCTGTGCTGACTGCCAGCTCAGAGCCTGGAGCCTGTTTCAGTCTGTGACTCCCTCTCTCTCTGACCCTCCCCTGCTCACGCTGTCTCTCTCTCTCTCTCCTAGAAATAAATTAAAAAAAAAAAAAAAAGATAGCATCAAGAAGCAAGTCTACCTACCCCCTCAACTCCTTTTTGTTCTTTGAGTGCTATGTCTATATGCCACTTGGCTTATAGGACCCAATAATTACATTTACTTGTACCCGTGTATATATGTTTGAATTTACCAAGTTCCTTTAAAATTCATTATGTCATCTAATCTTCACCCTAACCCTGTGAGACTATTCTGTACTCCATTTCATGGGTGAGAAAATTGAAGCTAAGAAAGATTAAATGTCTATCTGAAGATTTTATACTGAAGTCAGAGCCAGGAGTAAATCTAATCTTAGATTGCTAATGTCACCACACCATTACCAACGGTACTAAGAGTCTTTTAACTCTCTGACTTTATGGACAAAATGGTATCTTGTTGTTTTAATTTATACTCGTATGCTTATATCTGAGGCTCTTTTGTAGTTCTTTCTTGCCTATAGTGCAAACCAATTTTTGCTTTTGGGAGTTTATCTTTTATGAATTGACAAAAAGAACTATTGCCCTAACGGGGATGTTGATTTTAGCACATATTTGACAAATATGTTTTCCAGTTTGTCCTATGTCTTTAATTTTTATTTTTTAGTATGTACAGAAACATAAAATCTTTATGTTGTCAAATTTATGCACTTATTTCTTCAGAGTTTCTCCCTTGGAAAAGGCTTCTCAATCTAAAATCATACATTTTTTCCTACCTAGATAGCAGTTTCAGTTTTATATTTAATTTTTTAACCCATTTGGAATGTATTTAAATGTATAATGTAAGCTAAGGTTTCAACTGGAAGTGTTTCATATGAGCAAAGTTATCCCAGCGTTAGTTATTAAATGTTTCCCCACCATTGATTTGATCATCTTCATATTTTAGGTACAATTTATATTTGGGTTTGATTCCAGGCTTTCTATTTACTTCCTGTGATTACTTCCTGCTAACCCTGATTCCAGTCCTGCCCTGTCTACACCATGAGCACCCCAGGACCACAGATGGGATAGCCTGTACTCCTGTCTCAGCATCTCCCTTGGCTACCAAGGGACTTGGCATCAGCATTAAGTCCTCATCACTAGTTCCCCTCTGGGTAGAAAAGCTATGATTCTGGGCCCTAAATCAGAATGCACGAACTGCAAAAAGATGCTTCCTGCAATTTTGTGTGTGTGTGTGTGTGTGTGTGTGTGTGTGTGTGTACACAAATGCGCATGCTCACCCATGCTCATGCATGTGTGTTTCAGGGTTGGTGCGCTACATCCTGTGGTTCTCCAAATCAGACAGCCATTTTCTACTTGTGTCTGTTACTGAATATAGAATCCAGAATTTGAGGCTGATTTAGTGGCTGTTCCCATTCAGAGAACTCTTCCTTATTCAGGAAAAGTTTTGCTCCATTTAAGGTGAGGTTTGGTGGAGAAGATTTTGCAACCTTCATTTTCTCTTAAGGTGCACAGGTCATAAGGAATGTGGAAAAACATGAGAACTCCAGACGTAAGCAACTGCAAGTGTAGAAATTTAACATTAATCTGGGGAGTCAGAGACTGAATTTACTGTTCTTTTAAATCCCTGTGAAATATTCCTTTCTGCGCAATTTATGGTCTGGTTCGAGTCACTTAACTATACAAAATGAAAGAGAAAGATTTCTTTTATCATAAAATATTACATCTGAACTGGACCCTGGACATCTTCTAGTCCAACCTCCTTGTTTTTACAGATGTGGAAACCAAGCCTAGAGAGCTTACATGGCCTGCTCAGTTGGTCAGAGCCAGGGTTAAAAGATGTGTCCATGGACTCCACTCTGTCCTCCCCTCATTCTGCACAATATACAGAAGTTAATTAAATCAAGCAATGCCATCTATGACAGTTGTATGAAAATCCAAAACTCAAGCAAGGACCTAAGCTGAAAGTGGGACTGTTCTTCTAAGTCATCAATTTAAGAACATCTTGGACTGAGAAAACATATACTATAAGTAGCTATGAACAAACCCTCCCCCAACTCTTCCTTTCTCTTTCTGTTTTACTTCTTCCCTCCCCCCTTCTTTCTTCTGCCATCTTCCCCCTTGCTCTGGAACCTCTCCTGCCTACCAGAAATAAACTTTGCCTCACAGGCATCTTATTGAAACCCCCATGGCACATTTGGCCGCAATGGATACTCCTCTCCCGGGTAGGATGCCATCATTAGCAAGCTGTGGTTCTGAGTCCCAGGATTCAGGCAGCAACAGACCAAGCGAAGTGGGTAAAAGAGAAATGGGACATGGATGTGCTTATAGACACAGAGCTCTACCCAGGTAACCCAGGACTTCATATAAGCTTGATTCAAAGTCCTCTCCTGCCACACAGGCTAGTTACCTCTGGAAAGGAAGGCAGTGATGACTCCAGTGGCTCAGGCAGAAAAGGGGACCCAAGGGGCTTCTGTGCACAGCACGGGTTGAAGGTGAATCCTTGCTTCATGTACCTTCTCGTATTGGTCTTTGCATAGTCTCCTTTTACGTCTAGTTCCTTTATCAGTTATTTTTAACAAGGTAACAAGTAAGTCCCCAGAACTGGCCCATGGAAACAAAATCGCAGACACTGATCCACTTGTAACCTGCCCCTGCCCACGTGCAGTAACTACCACCCCACGTGCTGTGCTTTTTCTGGCTTGAATTTCTTTTTATATGGTTTTACTGCATCTCTATATTCATGAAAATGCTATTTTTTATTTTAGTTATTTTTAACATCATAAAAATGGTATTCTATGATGTCTGAGCTTTTCTTCAAAATAATAAGGGAGGGGGAAGGGGCTAAGACATACAGAGGAAGCAAGACTAGCTAAGACAGAAGCCAGATAGTAGGTACCTGGAGGAAATCACACTATTCTTTCTGTTTCTAGATGTTAAAATGTTTTCCATATGAAAAATCGCTAAATATTATATTGCAAAGAATCATCCATGTTGTTTACTTATTTCAATTTCTGATAATATTTCCTGTTGTGAATACTTCACAATGTATTTGAATTATTTTTGAATACAAGAAATGAAGCCAAAGGAGATTTTTGATTCACTAAAAAAATCCAAAGCGACAGTATTTCCTTTTTTTCTCTAGACCTCAGTTACCTTGATTTTCTTCATGCTTCTCCCCAGTTCTGCCCCCAACCTACCTCCCCAGTATTCCATGAAGCAGATCCACCCACAGTGAGCTCTCTGGGCACAACTCAGGCAATTCCACTTAGGTCCTGTTGTATCTGGTTCTTAGTCACCAAATCCTTGACTTCCCAAGGTGCTGCTGTCCTATCAGGGTTCTCTTCCTTCCCTGGCCTCAGGCAGCAGAGGACCCAGAAGAGCCCTAAGGGAGGAAGGGAATGTGTTATTTGTTTGTGTTCAAGTCTCCAGAGTTGCTTTTCCCCTTCTGCTACGAACAGCCCCACTCCTCTAGGGCCGATGCGTGAGGGCCCCCTTTCCAGAAGCTGGGCCCAGTTGGAGCTCTACGTTCAGTCTTTCATGTCAAGACCACGCTCAGGTCAAATCTGGAGAAAATGGAGTATGTGTCTCTCTTTTGCCTTGGTCACTGACTTTTCCACCCTTTGGGGCTTGGATCCACAAATCGAATGTCACTTTCAAATGCACTTCTAGGCTGCACGGAGACTCACTTGTCTAGAGATTGAGCAGCACCCTTCTTTCCAGGGCACCAAGCATGTTGCTTGTAACCCCAAAATGCTAATCATTTTTTTCATTCATCAAATATTCATTGGTTGCCTATCATGTGCCCAGGCACCGTGATAGGCTTTATGTGCCCGATGGCAAACCAGATAGAGTCTCTTTTCCAAGCCCTCCCCATTCACTAGGGATGCAGCAAAGTACATGAACAAATGTAGCAGAAGCACCTGTACTTAGGCCACAGTATGACTTCCGTGAGCTCTAATGCATGTGCCTTTGTTGGCCGTCTTGCATAAAAATATCAAAAATTTTATTTTTAACTTATACTTACAGCATAAAGATAAATGTATTAATATTCCATATGAAAATAATACTTCTAATTTTAAATGAATGTAAAACATTTTTGTGACTTCCTAAAAGTATCATGGGTCCTCGCCTCTCTGTCTCCTGTGCCTACTGGGTAAGCTGGCCCTCTTACCATTTGTATTTTCTTCCCGATTAGGACATAACTAAGCTCCCCTCTTTATTCCTTCCATCTCTGACAATAAGAATTCCCTTATGATGATAATTTTCCATTTGGTTTCCATCCATTAAAACTGTATATATTGACAAAGATTAGCAATGAAATCACATTTAAAAGAATGTATTGTTTAATTTATCATCCCACAAATATGTCTGTCAAATAATAATAGCTAAAATTTAGATTGAGTCTTTTTTTTAATGTTTATTTTATTTCTAAGAAACGGTCAGAGACAGAGGGTGAGCAGGGGAGGGGCAGAGACAGTGAGGGAGACACAGAATCCCAAGGAGCCTCCAGGCTCCTGGCTGTCAGCACAAAGCCCAATGTGAGGCTTGAAGTCACAAACCATGAGATCAGGACCTGAGCTGAAGTCAGAGGCTTAACCGACTGAGCCACCCAGGCGCCCCTAAAAGTTTATTGCATCTTAACTGTGTGAGCAACACTAGTTCACATGTATTAACTCACTTAAGATGACGACCCTATAGAGGGAGTCGTATTGCCATTGCCTTCATTTTACCGATGAAGAAGCAGAAGCACTCAGAGGTTAAATGACTCATTTGGGGCCACACAACTAGTAAAAGACACAGCCAGCATTTGAACTTGTCCAAGGCCAGAGCCTTAACCACTATGCTAGGTAACTTAGGACACAACTGTGTGATGCATCTCTCACACAGGCTATTTTCTACACAATTGTGAGTTTTCCACCCTCTATAAAACTACAGCCCGCCAGGAGCCACTATGTAGCCCCAGGGTTGGGAACCTGCACTTAGGGTAAACTTTCTAACTTTTTATAGCATTAAGCTGCCAAGGGGACTCCTTTAATATGTGAAATATTCACATTTCAGGGACTGTCTTATGGGAACACAGTAGCCACACTTTCCCTCTGTGCCCTTGAGCGCCTTCTGGTAGTTGAACATGAGCCAAATGAATGGGAAGCTGTGACGTTCCCACCCTGTCCTCCTTATCTCCTAAAATGACTAAAGAGATTTGAGGTCCCCTTGGCCCCCTGCACTGTTCACTGACTTTAGGACTGGAATTACAGCCAGCCGGCACCTCCCCGGGTTGTGCCTTCACCAACAATGCAGACTCACAGAAAAAGAATTTAGGTTAAAAAAGATGATACGTTAGATCCCAGGTCCACAAAGCCAGAACACCCTTGTTTGCCAAGCAGAAATTTATGTAATCACAAGACTAAAGACACTTTTAATTTCCAAAATGGTATTGCAACCAGCACAATCATCCTGCCTAGGTAAGTGCCAAAATACTTCTTCCCTGAGTCCTCCTAAGTGCTTTGAGTTGATAGAAAATAACCTCTTGAAATTACACAGTTAACTCCAGAACTGTAGCTGTGCCACCGGAGAAAGAAAGACAGGAAGGAAGCATTTCAGCTGAGATGTACATCATGGGGGACGGGAAGAGATAACATCCTGACCCATATATACAGTTTCTGGCCCAGAAATACTATCTGCTTAATGATAACTGTAGTATACACTCAAAAGCAAGCACGGAAAATTATCATGGTTTTTTTTATATGGAAGAGCAAAGCCAGAGAGCTTGTGATTTTTTTTTTCCACTCATACAGCTTGAAGCCAACAAGCACGCTGTGACTAGATAATATCATATATACTTATGGAGGGGAATATATGAAAGCTGACTCAGAAGAGCCCATTAGACTGCAGCATTGAGTAACCAGTAATGAGTGAACAAATAAAATATCGTGTGACCATCTAATACAACATTGACTCTTTTCTTAAAAAGAACCAAAATATTATCTGTTTTTAAAAATAAGTCTCAATTCCATGGCCATCTACCGTAAATCACTGCCTTTGTGTAAAGAAGTGCCTGATCACTTCGTCAGATTTCCTGGAACGAGATTCCAGGCAGAGGCAAACGCTTGGATCAGGGCATGTAGATAGGTGACAGATGGTGGATTTTAGCCTTTCAACACATAACCGTAACCTTATGCACTGTCTGAGTTTATTTTCAATCCCATACACAAGGGCTTATTGTTTATAATAAGCTCTCCTCCAAACCCATTTCCAGGAAAAGATTCTCTGTGTGTGTCACCCTGCCTCACTTCCCAGGCTGCAGAGTGAGCATGAGGGCTTCAGGACCCGGGGCCAAGTGTCAACTGCCAATAATTGGGGGGTGGGGGGTGGGGAGGAGGGGCTTGAAATTTCCAGTCCTTGCTACTATTTATGTTAGTGTCCTGTCTAGTCTAGTCTCAGATGCATCTTAGATGCGTTACTTAGAATTTGCAGCCTTACTTCTATTTTCTCACCTGGAATGAAAACCAATGCACATTTCACCAAGCCATCTCTACTTGTTAGAAAAAGAGGGAAGAAAAGAAAATTTTGTCTCACAGGTTGGGTTTCCATCTCAAGGTGGGAAAGCTCAGTAATTTAGACTCAAAAGTAAACAAGCTACACTCACCCCCAGCCTAGGAGATGTGTAAACACTAAATGGGCAATGCTAATTTTATTCTTGGTACCGTGTTCATGTTCTGAGTCAACTCTTGCCTTCTCTTTACTCTGAAGCTAATGAATGCAAGCCCCTGATTCCATCTGAGACCATGTAATTCCACTGGGCTTTTTAGAAGGCTTGGGGTCAACATAGGGACATGAATTTGAAAGAGCACAAATTCTAGCTATATGACTCCAACTAAAAATGTGAGGCAGAGAACAGCTCTGAGATTCGTGAACATCAATTTACTTTTGGGAGAAGCTGGATAAAACTTTGAGTTTGGTCTCAAAATAGCCTGGACAATTTTAGTTTTCTGACAGCATTTGGTGGCAAGCCTGTTAAAGAACACCATCTTGAAAATCCCCATTTGTGTGCTGTAGATAGCATATCATCTGGACACACCCAGAGCGTCAGAAGCATTAATCACAGAGGCACACCTGGCATGGAACAGAGGTGTGAGGAGAGGAGGAGATAGAGTTTTAGATGGACCCCAGACCTTGTGTCTTCTCCACTTTTGCCTATTTGATTAGTTAACAGCTTGCCTGACTGCTCACTCAGAGAGGCCCTAGGGTACAGTGGTTAAGAGCACAGACGCTGCAGTTAGGAGAACAGGCTTCTGAATCCCAGCTCTGCCAGGTAATGGCTCTGTGACCACGGACAGGTTCCCTAACTTCTCTGAGCCTTAGCTTTGTAGGGTGACAAGTATGCCGGGACTGGCACAGGGCCTGCACATTTGGGGGCTCAGAGCTCTTCCTCTTGTACCCTTCTCTGTTCGCTGAGTGTTCATGTATGTATGAAAAGTACTCAGTCAATGCTCACAAACCATTCATTTATCTTTAGTACTTGTGGTCCAATGATGACGGAATTAAAATTGTTATTGTTATTATTACCCTTGGGGAAAGGCCGTTCAGAAGTTGCTGTTTCTCATTCTGGTTATCAAGTCACTTCAACGTAGACAGTTTTGCTGTGGGCTGAGCTATCTGGGAGGCTCAGCAGAGGTAAAGCTACTGCTCACCCTTTGTTCTCACCTCAGAGTTGAAACCTAGCACTCTCTGATTTGACAAGGCATGTTTGGCAGCAATTGACAACGGTGTTGGAAGGTGTCACTCCTTCATGTACCAGTCCCATATTTATAATGGGATTTCTTGAGAGCTGATGAGAAACAGGAATCAGAGTCCTTATTTCAGATATTCCAATTATTTGAACATCTCCAAAATACTGAAATCTTTTTCACTGAACTGAGTTAGTAGGAAAGTGGGGTGGGGCCCAGGAGACCTTCCCCATCAGGTACCCCTGAGTGCCTTAAGCTTAAGCATAGGATCAAGATTATCCAAGAGGAGAGCTGGTCTGGCACTGATATTGCCCCTTCCACATTCAGTCACCATCACACCACGCCCATGCCCAATGGCAAATGGCTGAGTACGTGAGAAAGGAAGACTGATCACAAAGACTCATCTTGCTGGAACCCAGCTTGGTGAGGCACAGGGTCCCATGCACATTCCAGGGGCAAGCACTCTGCCCTGCCAGCCTCTCCTGGCCCTTCTGCCTGCGCTAGACCTATGGACTAATGTTTTCAGTAGTGACAAAGCAAGAGTAGGCATCTTCTCCCATGAGTGACTGTTCAGGCGGTGTGAACTTAGAAGTCTGTGACTCAGATTTCTCAAGGGCAATGGACAGGAAAGAAAGAATAGACTTGTCTTCTCAAT